AGCTTAAAGCCCCTGATGGCTCTGGGCGCTGACTCTCACCAGTGGCTATGGATGAAGTCACAGGCGATTTTCAGCCAGCGCCAGTAAATGATAATTCTTGCTTGAAACAATTACTGTGGAAATAATTTTGCCTTTTTTCTTATATATATGTAATTCATGAGGATGGACTCATGAATTCTCATTATGAGAGTTAAAATTCACTACTGTCATTTTAATTTTGATGCTCAAATAGGTCTAGATTAGGACAGTTAAAGCCTCTTCACATTCATGCCTATGCCCTTTTGCTATGTCCCTGTCATTTTTCGAGTATATCTTTGCTTTCTGCCATAGCAAAGTGTTCTTGGCAAATTTCTTCTAAGTAGTAGCTGTGCTCATCTTGGCAAAGCTGTTCTGGGTACCAGATGTGCTCACCACTCATCATTATGGTACCAGGGCTTCCAAGCCCTAGGCAGACAGAGTTAGGACACGTGTATGTACATGAGTGTCTGTGTACGTCATGTAGTCATTCATTATTTCTGTTACTTAAAAACCATGTGCTCACAATGGAATACTATGCAGCACTCAGGAGCAATGATTTTGTAAAATACTATATAATGGAAGAATCTAGATCATTATGCTAAGTTAACTAACTCAATCTCCTAAGGACAAATACTGCATAAAACCATTATTGTAAAAATAGAAGGATAACTAGTTAGATGTGGATAAAAGTCCAGAAGGGGAAGAAGAAGGGAGCAGAGAGGTAGAAGGGAGGGGAGAAAATCACTAGGATGACAGAATTTGGTGAGTAGAGGGAGAGGCTGAAGGAATTAGGGAGGATCCTGTGGGAACCTGAATAGACAGCATAATAGTGGGCATAGATCAGTGGTGATTAATTTTCTAAAACACAGTGTGAAGGTAGGAATGTATAAAATGCAGGGTGTATGAATGATACACAGTGTATACTAATTTAGTGTGCAAATCAATATAAAAATAGAGAGGAGGGGAAAATCCCAAAACAAAAACACCTTGAATTCATACTGATACCTTGCAGAGAGGGTTTTTTTTTTAATTATTAAATTTTATTAGTTTTAATGAACATTTACAGGGATTTTGGGTTTTCATTCCTTCATTGCCGCACCATTCTCTCTACCCTCCTCCCCAGTTTGTTCTTCTTTCCCCGCCATCCAAATGTCTGTTTTAATTGTCCAATTGCCACAGTGCTTGTCAAAGTCAGTTCTGATTAATCTCCTTTGTCAGTGTGTCCTTTGCTATTCCCTCTCACTCCTCCCTGAGAGAGACTTCACCCTGATTCATAAGGAAAAGGGGATGGCATATTCTCTTAGCTACTTCCTGCTGAAAAGGGACGCTGTGGGTTTCAGGGTGAAGATCTTCTCTCACTACTCTAAAGGGCCCCTTTGGCAGTAGGAAACACATAGACTATTATGGATTGATTTTGGAATTTAGATGCACTGTTGTTAATTGTGCTTAGCCGTACGTGTTCATATCCTTGAAGATGTATCATGGGGGGGTTTGCAGAGAGGATTTAACTTGCCTAAAACGGATACATTACCTGGAAATTATTTAGTTATGATGTGCCCTTGAATTAGAACCATTCAACCTGCAGTGGATTTCAGAGGCAGTATATCATAAGGGAGTAAATTGTCCCTCTTTCTCCTACAGAGCAGCTGGTGAATTCCATCCATGTGCCTTTGGGATTGCAGCACAGCTTCCTACCATTAGACTTAGATTCTTTAAAACTTTATGGTTTGTTTGACATAGATGAATCTAGGAAAATGATGTTGAGTGGCATAAGTCATTAACAAAAAGATAATTGTTGTTGCTGTGTGCCATCAAGTCACTTGCAACTCATAGCAACCCTTTGTACAATAGCCCTGAAACCTGCTCTATCCTGTGCTAACCTTATTGTCTCTGACACAGCTAGCCCATTACCCCAGTCACGGAATCAGTCCATCTCATTGAGGTTCTACCTCTCTTGCATTGTCCCTCTACCTTTCCACGCGTGAAGTCCTGATCCAAGGACTGGTCCCTCCTTGCAACATCTCCAAAGTCAGTCAGATGAAGTCTCAGAATCTTTGCCTCCAAGAAGTAGCCTGGTTTCATCCTCTCTAGGACGAACCGGTTCTCCTAGCAGTCCATGGTATAGTCAGTACTCTTCTCCAGCACCACAGTTTCTGTCCTCCCTAATCATTGTCTAGCTTTTTGATGCCTAGGAAGTAATTGCAAAGTCTATGGCCTAGATCAAGTGCACCTTAGTCTCCAGTTTAGTATCATTGCTCTTTAGTATGCTGAAGAGGTCCCTGATAGAAGACTTTCCCAATGCAGTTTTTCTTGATTTCCTAGCTACTGGGACCAAGAATGTTGATTGTGGAGCCAAGCAAACTAAAGCTGTTAACAATCTCAATCTCTTCGCTGTCTATCATGATGCTGCCAGTTGGCCCAGTAGTGAGAATCTTTGTTTTCTTGATGTTGAATTTCAGTCCACATTTAAGATTGCAGTCCTTGACCTTCTGCAGCAAGTGCTTCAGGTCCACCTTAGTTTTAGCAAGCAGGATTGTGTCATCTGCATAACACAGATTGTTGATGAATCTGCCTCCAATCCTGATACCACACTTTTCCTCATACACCCAGCCTCCCGGATGGTCTGTTCTGTATATAAATTGAAAAGGTATGGATATAGAACACTTCCCTGGCATACACCTTTCCAAGTTTTAAACCATGAAGTATTTCCTTGCTCTTTTTTGATGACTGCCTCCTGGTTCATGTATAGGTTTTGCATAAGCACCATCAAATGTTCTGGGATTCCCATCTTCTCAGAGTTAGCCACAGTTTATTGTGATCCACATAGTTAAATGTCTTTGCACATAGCCAATGAAACACTTCTCACGTTAGCTATAGTATCCCTAGTACTACGGCCTCTTCTAACCCCAGCCTGTACACCTGGAAGTTTTCTGTTGATGTACTTCTCCAGTCATTTTTGGATACTCTTCACCAAAATCTTGCTTATATGTGATATTAATGATATTGTTTGATAATTTCCACACTCTGTTGGGTCACCTTTCTTTGTAATGGGAACAAATAGGTCTAGTCAGTTGGCCAGGTGGTTGTCCTCCAGATTTCTTGGCACAACTTGGTGAGTGCATTTAGGGGAGCATCTGTTTGTTGAAATATGTCAATTGCTATGCCATCAATTCCCAGGGCCTTACTACATTAATATGAAAAGCTAAGGAAGGGGTTTCAGCCTTAAATATGGATCAAGAAAACAAAGATTCTCACCACTGGGCCAGTTGGCAGTATCTTGACAGATGGTGAATAGACTGAGATTGTTCACAGCTTCAGTTTGCTTGGCCCCACAATCAACACTTTTGGTACCATCAGCCAGGAAATCAAAAGATGTATTGCATTGAGAAAGTCTGCTGTCAGGGACCTCTCCAGAGTACTGAAGAGCAAATATATTTGAACAAATAGAAATAGTAAGTATCCTGAAGAATCTCTCAAAATGTCATTTAAGTTTTGTCGCTTAGCTAACAGTACCATGTATATCCAATTCTACTAATTGAGAGAAAACGCGAACTCATTGCCATCAAGTCAAAACTGACACACAGCTGACTTTATAGTGTCTTTTTGGAGGCTATAAATCTCATGAGAAGAGACTTTCCATCTTCTACCAAGCAAGTGCTGATGAGTTTGAACCTCCAGAGATGGCACCTTTGGATTAGCACTGCAACTCTGTATGAACTTCACCACCAGAGCTCTTACGAGACGGGAAGGAACTAAGTATAACTGCCAATCAATTAAGTAACCCATCAATTAAGTATTTAATGATATCTACATGTAACTGCTGGTGGATCTGACAGCCAGCTTGCAGCTGTGCATTTAAAACTTACTATGAGTCGCAAACGACTCGACTCGACGGCACATAACAACAACAACAACATGTCAACCAGTCTAAGATGGGCTTTCTGTAGTAAAGAAATTTCAGGGAAAAGAAAATAGCAAAACATAAAGAACAATAACTGGACAGTTTAGTTCTCAACTTAAAAGTAAAGATTACAGTAATACAGATGTGCAGGAATGAGCTGAGTATTTATTGAAGGTGCTTTGTCAACCCAGTAAGTTTTAAATGCACAGCTGCAAGCTGGCTGTCAGATCCACCAGCAGTTGCATGTAAGCTAAGGTTGTGGAAGTCTGCTTTCATAAATATCATAGCCTCAGAAGCCCTATCAGACATTTCAGCTCTGTCCTGCAGGATCACTGTGAGTTGGAAGTGACCCAAAGGTGATGGGCTTGTTGGTCTTTCGATACTGTCTATTTTAAAGGCGTTTTGATGTATTATGGCATCTAATATTTATTTGCAGAAGCTCCGTTGGCCCAGTGGTAAGAAGCTATACTGTCAAATCAAAAGCATGTGGTTCAAATCTACCAGCTGCTCTCTCACGCAATTTATTGCCTCTGAAAAGCTACTGGAGAGTCAGTTATGAGTTGGTTCCTACTGGATGGCACGTAACAACAGTATTTACAACATTCTCTTGAGGCAGGTTTTAACCACAGCATACACACTCAATGACTGTGAGAAAGGTGGGCAGGCTTTTCCCATTGCTATTTACACCCTGAGAAACCTGAGGGAGGGTCACTGTGAGTCATAAATGACCCCAACAGCTGTGATTGTGTGCCCAGATCCACAGCTGACATTTGGCCCAATTTGTAGTTAAGACTTTTCCACCACAGTTTGAAGAATAAGAAAATTGGCAAGGTGTAATGGATGCTCACAGTCTTTATTTACTTTAGCAATCTGCTCATCGTGCTGCCACAAGAGGCTTCATTCGGTATGGCTGGCGCTGGAGTTGGAGGACTATGATGTTTGTGACTATATTCAAGTAAGTGATCTCTGAATTGTTTATTTATTTATTCTTTTTTTTTTTTTATGTGTGTACCATCAAATTGGATCTGACTGGTACAGGAGGCGATTGTTCCTCCTTCTTCAGCAGAGCATCTGGTGGATTTGAACCGTGCACCTCTGGGATTGCAGTGCAGTTTCCTACCACTAGGCCAGTGATCTCTGAATTGTGAGAGAAGTTCCTTGTATACTATAAGGAACACATCTTTTGAGCAAATGGGACCACTGAAAATTGAAAACTCTCTGTAGAGTGATTAGTAGTGCCTTTTTCTCAAGAATTTTTGTCGAATGATATAGAAGACTGGTCAGTTGTCATTTGTTGTCTTCCAACCAGTCATATGTTGATACCAAAAAAGAAAAGAAAAGAAAGCTAAAACTTCTTTATGTTTCTATTTTTAAGTGATGTATTTATAGCAGAAATTTGATAATTCTTTCATTTATTCTTTAGCAAGAGAAGACTTACCTGGAAAGTCTGCCTGCATATTAGCAGTTTGAAGCAGGAATGACATCCACTTCCTAAACACCATGCCTCTGGAAACTATGAACTTTTGATAAATGTCAATAGTTATAGAAAAGCTTCAGTTCTTTTGTTCATGCAGTCACTGTAAGTCATGTGCAGCTTGACAGCAGTCAACAACAACCACCACAAACATGTTGAGGAGGTGGAGGCAAAGATTGACCTAGTAAACTCTTTTAAAATAATATTTGTCACTTAAATGAAAACAGAAATGGAAAAGGTAATAGGATGTGTTTTAAATCTTTTGGTCTCTTCATTTCTCCCTTCTTCCCAGCACAGTGAATACTGGTCTAAACGTGTACCGAGATAAAAATGCCCTAAGCCATTTTGCTGTTGCTGGAGGTAAGGTGTTTTTGTTCTTATTTATGTTTTAATCTTTTCAAATAGAGTTTAGGAAATGCTTAAGAACTTAGAAGATAGAGTCTGTGAGTGCTTTACTTGATATCCTATCACCTTTTATTTAACGTTCATGTAAAATGTATTTATGGAGAAAAAGCATTGAAAAAGCTTAGCTCTAGGTATTCAGGTGTTTATGGTGAATAAAATAGACACAACCTTTGCCACCATCTTCAAAGAATTTTATGATCAGGGTGGCTGGTAAAATAAGTTGCTATGATAGAGAAAGGGCACTCTGGTGGCCTAGTAGGAAAGAGTTGTGCTGCCAACCCAAAGGCAAGCAGTTCTAATCTACCAGCTTGGAAGAAGGTGGGCAGTCTTCTTCCATATGATTTACAACCTCTGAAAACCTGCTGGAATGTCAGCCGTGAGTCAGTTCCTTATTGACAGAACAATGATGACATAGAGAAACTAACAAATAGATGAGATACTGGAATCAAATGTTAATAGGGTGTTCAGAGAAGGTCTTGAAACTAATAATGCTTGGAGGATAAGAAAGAACAGACCTTAAAATGAAAAGTGACTCAGAGCATCAAGATTGAAGATTCTAAGCAAGAGTTTCTCAAACATGGATGAATTTGACTAGAACATAATGAGTGAGGAAAGAGAAGTTTGAAATTACACTGATGAGATGAATTAGTAAGGGATTACATTTTGTGTGTGTGTGTGTTAAGTTTGAGTTTTATTTTAGTTATCTGCATCTGAGAGCTCTTCTTTGAAATGAACATTGACACATTTTAAAAAATGTAAGAGAAGGTAACTGCCGCATGCGTTCACTCAGATTTACATATGTCTCTCACACATGTAAAACACATACATGTATGTCAAACAAGCATTTTAAAAAGTACTTAGAAAGAGTTAAGCTTACAAAAAGTTGGAAAAATAAAAATCATGTAGAGTATACCATTTACCTCTTACATCCATTGGCTCAACTGTGCATAACACTTTATTCCATTTATCAATTCTACTTTCTTGCTCTTTTATTTTTTATTTTTATTTTTTTTATTTTTGTGTGAGTGTACCGTCAAATCAGATCTGACTGGTACAGGAGGAGATTGTTCCTCCTTTTCCCGGCAGAGCATCTGGTGGATTCGAACCGTGTGCCTCTGGGATTGTAGTTGCAGCTCCTTGCCACTAGGCCACCAGAGCTCCCCCTCTTTCTTGCTCTTACATACACTCTTTCTTTAGCATATGTGAATGTATGCAGACAAATGTACATAAGCAGAATTATCTGAGCTTAATTTTTAATATAAACATTGTAAAATATAATGTACAACTAGGCATTAACAGCTTTGGGGTAGGGAGGAACCCAAATGAGTTACTGTCAAGTGGATTCTGACCCCTGATGACTCCATGAAGTTCTGATGGAGGGTCAGCTATGTAGGTTCTGATTTGACAATGAACAACAACACTGCTCTCACTAGGCTTTTCTTGGGAGCCACACTTCAGAAGCAGACTACTAAAGCTTTCTTCTGTGTTGACTCTGGGAGGATTTCAACTGCCAACCTATTGATTAGTAGCCCAGTACTTTCCTGTTTGTATAACTAGACCCTGCTTTTTGACATCATTCAGACAGCTAGAATTTCCTTTTCTAATTTTTAAGCATTTTTTAAAATGGCTATTCATAGCCTCAACTGTTCGTATCCAAAGCAAACCTTTGTCTTCACTCTCCTTGCTCCATTTCCTGTGCCTGCTGTTGTCTTCCCAGTCATCTACCTCTTTAAATGCCAAGACCAGAAGCTGAGGAATGATAATATTTTTATTATCCTTCTTTCTAACCATCTAGTTCTATAAATTATACTAGATAGATAGATACATAGGTAGTCACTTGCTTCCTTTTGTTTCTTACTAATACCAGGTTATTATGTATAATCTGGAACTATTCATTTACATAATTATCTTAGTTACTTTTTAAAATTAGCTGTATTATTATACCTTTCATCTGCTTGAAATTCAACAGTTGTCCATTACTCTAAAGATTGTGCCCATATACCTCTCTTTTGCGCCAATCTTAAAAATCTATTTTGATTTCCAAAACTGCTCATATTTTTGCTTTACATATTTTGGTTCCTCTCACTGAATATACCTTCCTCCTCTTAGAAGTAGTTTTATAAAACCCCAACTTTATTATTCAAGGTTACAATCATTTGTTAGCCTCTACTTCTGTAAGGCAACTTTCCTAACCTCTGTTTTCTTCTCTTTATATATAAGTGTCCCCTGTGTTTCTATAATTGACTAAAAATAGTTTATCAAACCATTTATAATACTAAGTTGTTATGATTATTTTACTTCTTTACTAGATGATTTAGATGTTTGTCTTTTATATCACAGACACTTGACATGTAACTGGGTAAAATAAATGTTTCTTGATTGATTGTAAAAATGACTATTAAAAGAAGAATAAAAAATTTACCTCTCATACAATATAAATTTTTACTTCAGACCAGCAGTCACCATCATACTTAATAATGTAACACTCTCTGATAATTTCTCTTGAAATCAGAATCAGGTCAGGTTGTCATCTTACATCCTTACTATTTGGCATTGATCTGATTTTCATAATAGTACATTCAGTGTTTGAAATAGATGAAGAACTTGGCGCACCGTCTCACCAAAAAGCAACAGTGAAGCTAGACAGAATTAAATACACATGTCTTTAAAGGTGCTTGATATTGACCAAAGGCATATAGAAAATTGAGGAGCTTTTATTTTAAAATAGCTACTGAAAGACTTGCTGTGAAGGGTCAAGGACTGCAGCCTTCAGTATGGACTAAGGCTCAACGTCAAGAAGACAAAGATTCTCGCCACTGGACCAATTGGCAGCGTCAGGATGGATGACGAAGAGATTGAGAGTGTTCACAGCTTCAGTTTGCTCGGCTCCACAGTCAACACTCTTGGTACCAGCAGTCAGGAAATCAGAAAGCATATCGCGATGGGAAAGTCTGCTGTTAGGGACCTCTCTAAGGTACTCAGGAGCAACAGTGTCTCTCTGGAGACTAAGGTGCGCCTGATACAGGCCATGGTATTTGCAATCGCTTGTTATGCATCAGAGAGTTGGACAATGACTAGGGAGGACAGAAGGAGAGTGGATGCTTTTGAGCTGTGGTGCTGGAGAAGGGTACTGAATGTACCATGGACTGCCAGGAAAACAAACAGATCCATCTTGGAGAGGATTCAACCAAGCTACTCCTTGGAGGCAAGGATTCTGGGGCTTCGTCTGACATACTTTGGACATGTTGCCAGGAGGGACGGGTCCTTGGAGAGGGACATCATGCTTGGGAGGGTGGAGGGACAGCGCAGGACGGGAAGACCCTCTATGAGATGGATTGATTCGGTGACTGGGGTAATCGGGATGGGTGTGTCAGAGGCGGTGCGGTTGGCGCAGGATAGAGCAGGGTTTAGGGCTGTTGTGCATAGGGTCGCTATGAGTCGGAAACGACTCGATGGCACATAACAACAACAACTGAAAGTAAGAATAGTAGTTCTTAGTTACTGTCAAGTCAGAATGGACACATAGCTGCCCCTCCAGCAGGTTTTTAGAGTCTGTAAATCGACAAGAGGAGATTGCCTATCTTTCTTCCACAGAGCACTTGGTGCATTTGAACAGAGTGTCTGTGTTGGCAGTGCAACTCTACCACTAAGCCAAGAATAGTGGTAGTCTGTAGAATTTTAGCCTGGGATTTTTCTACCCTCCAGTCCTCATGTCTGTGGTGCAGGAATTTTACAAGGACAGGACAGGAGGCCAGCAGATCTGCTGTTGGAGTGTACTGACTTCATTTGGAGCAAAGCACAGAAAATTCCTTTTCTAGAGGTATTTCTGAAAACAGCTAACCTGATATTGCTCTAAACAAGTAATATAGATCAATAGACCAAGCAGAAATTTATCTTATAACATGTAGGTAATGAGATGTCCAAACAGGACTTTCATAAGATCCTGCCTCTCTGTGGAGTTCTTGAACTCTGTGCACATATTTTAAATATTCACACACACTCTAAAGAGACGAGTAAAAGGCAAGTTGCCTTTAGGTGAATGTGAGACCTGGTGAATGCAGAAAATAAAAACTAGGAAAAACTTGCAAACTAAAATGAACTTTGAGTGAATTTCCCGAGGCAAGGATGGATACCTTGGGCAAGAGTAGGAAGCTCTTCTAGCATAAGGTGTTTAGCACAATCTCTGAGGAGTATATTTGCCTGATTACTAAGATAGGACAGTTCTGAAGAAACTAGACATAAAAACTGAGCAGAACTGCACTGCAATCCCAGAGTTACGCAGTTCGTATCCACCAGATGTCCTGCCAGAGAAGGAGGGGTAATCTCCTCCTGTACCAGTCAGATCCAGTTTGACGGTACACACACACAAAATAAAAAAAATTAAAAAATAAAAAAAAAACCAACCACCAGCAAAACCCAAAAACTGAGCAGAGAAGATTTGTCCAGGTAAATCAGTACATAAACAGAACTGTAATCAAACCCATGGGGACGGGGGAAGGAAGTTGCAATTCCAGAGTCTCTACAATATATTATCTAAAAGCTTAGATTTTAACATCATCAACAAAAATCACAAGACATGCAAAAGCAGTGGGGGGTGGAATTAGTCATTTGGAGGACCCTGACAAAAGATTTCAAAACAGGAAACCATGTGTGAAGCTAACAATGACTCATTAAATATATAATATTATTACAGAAATAGAAATTACAAAAAAGGTTTAAATGAGGATTTTAGAGTTGATAAAAGTATACTTGAAATTAAGAATTTAGTGGGAAAGAGGAGTTCAGTAGCAGAAGTGAAATAAAAGAAGGAAAAAACAGTCAATGTGAAAACAGATGAGTATTTATAATGTGTTCTGCAAGTGAACAGCCTTAGATACTTGTGAGATCTCATCAGGCATACCAGTGTGTTTGTAATGGATGTGCTTGGTGGAGAAGAGTGAAAAGGGCAGAAAAGG